ATAGAACCAATGTTCCTGAGGTGGTGGTGGCAGGTCTTTGATAGGTGGTTAATATGCTGTTCCATGGATAGATTCTCGTCTAAAAACACACCTAGGTTTTTAACACAATGAGAAACAGGAATTTCTACATCATCGATCTGGAGATGATCGATACCACATTTCTGCAATCTGGATTTAGAAGCAGGAATCATGAGTTCAGTTTTTTGTGCTATTTAGCTGTAGCATGTTCTTAGACATCCAGTATTTAACATCTTTCACACACGACTCCATCCTGGCACAGACCTCAGTCTGACTCTGGGGTCACTGGTGAAATTATCCTTGTGCTGAGTGTCGTCAGCGTAAAAGTGATGGGCAATATGCTGGTCACTGATGACCAGAATCAGATTGTGGCAATTACGAGTGGGAAGTGACTTGTCCTAAGTAGCAGAAAGCCATCTGTTTGACTTTTAATTCAGCCCCTTAGTACTGGTGCAGCAATTATCTGCAGCCTGACAAAGCAGATAGTCTCCCTGAAGACTTGCAGTATCCGATACTACACTGTGGATATGAAATAAAAGATGTTAATCATTAATTGACTTGTTTTTATTCTTCCATTAGGCACAAGATCTACCACTCTCTCTACTGGTGCGTTGAAGTATGATTATCTTTCGTGACTTAATTCATCATGGGCTTTAGAGGCAAACCTTTTACAATGATGCTGAGCTGATCAACACTCATACTGGAGTGTAAATTCCGAAGTCTGTGCTGGAATTCGAAGTGTTCTTCTCCTGTGTTCCTTGCCTGTCATTGATTTAACTTAGGTGGGACAAATGAGGGTTAACTGCTTAGGTTTCACATGACAAATCAGCCATCTGTGATCACATCAAATCACACCCCAATCACCAAACTGGACTGACATCACCATGCTTGTGAACAATCAAACTGACTGCAGCAAATTCACATTAAATGCCAAAAGCCAGCGACCAAGGATATTTCAATCCAACACCATATGATACAAATTTAGACCGAGCCTAATCTAATGCGTAAATGGTCCTAAACGGTGTCCTCGCACTTAGCCAGATTCTGTCAAAACAGGTCTCTCACATAGCCAGAGTGGGATTTGGCTGACTTGGCTGACTTGGGTTAGTGTTTTAACACTTAGATGAGCCATAGTCTGTATCAACCATATGCTCAAGTAATGATAATAATAATAATAAATCATCTTCTATAGCGCACAGTCACCAAACACCAAGTGATTGCTCGCGATGCTTAATCAGAATCTGATTATTACCCTGGATAACCCAAGCTGCCAGCTAGGTGCTAGGAGGTTATAGTCACATAACTTGATCCAACCGGGTACCCATTTTCTGCTGGGTGAACAGAGGCGATTTTGAACAAACTCACTTGCCTAGGGTGAGACCACATGTATCACTTGGTTTCGTTGTGGGGCAGGACTGATGTCCTAGAAACTCTCAGGAGTCAAGCTGACAAACACTGTCACCCATCCAAGGACTGTCCGAGCTCGACGTTGCTTAACTTCAACTGATTTGTGACCTGAGCGCTGTGCACAGGACCACACTCCACAAGTAGTGAGATGAGTGAAATTTGTATCAGTCTCACTGCATCTCTGAAAGTATTGTATATAACTCAATGTTACATGAAATGACTTTCACAAAATGTAAATAAATACATGCTTGCTGCAAAAGAAGTTTTGCATTAAAATGTTAACTTTTTTATTTTACCATCTTTATTTCCACAGTGTAATATATGTAGAATACATTCACATCAATATACTCAATATACTTTCACAAATCACCATCATACAATGAATAAATATCTTTGAATATGTTTTGCATACTTTATCTCTGTGTATCCAATAGTGGTAATAGTGATTAAATACACTTACAGTATGTTTTCTGACATAATATTTTCAGTAAGTAGATTGTGGAAGGATGACCTGAAGGTGAAGAAATGTTAACATGTTAATAAATATAATTTTATCTGAAATGTTGTTTCTTTTGCTTTAATATTACAAACATGTGCTTGCTCGCACGCACGCACGCACGCACACACACTTGCATACATCTTAACTCATGTTGCATTGTAGATACAGACTAGCTCTTTAACAAAGGCTCACGCTTCAGTGGCTAATGCGAATTACCTGGCTCGCATCCCTCACCTAGCGGTGACAGGCCGGGAAAGCCACATTTAAAAAAATGACTGTTGCCGAGAAGGCCACATTTCAATTACATGGCTGTAGCTTGTAAAGCCACATTTACAATAGGTTAATTAATTAATGGATTACCGTAACCGGTAAAAGAGTGTCCCCATGTATAATATTGTTTTCACAAGAAACGAATAATCTTTCTTACTCACAAGCGTGATGTTTAGCAATACCGGTAGAAGACTATCCCTATTTATGATTCTAAACCACATTGTATATAATATTGTTTTCACAAGAAACTAATTATCTTTCCTACTCACAAGCGTGATGTTTAGCTTCTTCACACAGAGTTTATTACTCCAAGATGGAACCACCTCTGGTGGTACATCAGTACATGAAATGGAATACAGAATATACAAAGTGTAAGAAGGTGACAGGGAAGATACACAATGATTACTGAAAACTAGAACATATACATTAGATAAATTTAGATAGGTGTTTGATTGTTCAAATTTTAGTACTTGACATCAATTTTCTTTTTATGTGGACAGATTTGGGTAGGAACAAGAGCTATCTTCTATGTGAGTGATGCATTGTTGGCTAAAATAAATGGCTGAACATCTAAAGTATAATGGAATTCATCCCCAGTTAACTACCGGTATATGGATCATGTGGGCGACCTCCTTCATCTGGAGTAGGTGGTGTAGAAAAGAATGTTTTGTGGTCTTATGCCATTTTATCTGTTTGTACACATGGCAACAAACTAAACCATTATCTTTAGTATTATGTTTTACAGATGAACATTTATTATTATTACATGATATTATTATTATATGTAATATACCTATTAGTATGTTACATTGTGCTAATCCTAGAAATAAAACCTGTTGTGATCTGAATAAAATTATGAGGAAACATGCCTTGTTTTCTTAAATACGGTAACCTGTTTGAATCACTAAGTATGTTTTGACAGCATAGCCGGGAGAGCCACATTCCATGTTCACACAACCGTAACTATTGCTGGGAGAGCCACATCAATTTAGGCTATCTGTTTCGGAAATGTGGCTCTCCCAGCCTGTAACCCACCTAGCCATAGTGCAATCTTGTCTTATGTATACCTTTTTGGCTAGACTCTGGCTAAGTAAGAGTTAACCATGTAAACATCTCCACTTCCTAAACTTTCCCTTTGATTTGACCATCTCTGCCTCCCATCTCCTATCCCTTGGCCAATTCACTGGCTGCCCAGCCAGTTATGTTAACTATGTTGTTTTCTTTGTTTCACCCAGTATGTATCCATCCTCTCCTCTTCATGTTACATTCTTGCTTGACAACAGTACAAGAATCTGTACACTCACAAAACAAAATAAGTGATCTATAAATTTGTCAGTATCATACTTTTCATCTTCTATAATGCCACTCACAGACGTTTGATTTTGTACCATCACTCATATTGTACTACCACTGCAATACTTTTGTATTGATTTGTAAACTTCAGAATGAAATTGTTAATTTGTGTCTGAAATAAATTCTCCCGAACACTCTGGTATTAGTGGATAAGGCTCAGGCATCAAAAACTTATGTTTCAGTTTTATGTCTCTGTATATGTCTGAAAGACATTTGAGAGAAAGTATGTATCTGCTTGCAGCTATTGTGAAATATTTATGAGGAAAGGTCAATGTAGTTGTGCAATTATAATACAGTGATTTGGTCTCAGTATTATGTTGACTTCAAGCACACACATCCATCAAATATGTCCTCATAAAACAAAATGATGTTCAGCAGTCAGGGGTTCTCTTTCTCAGTTGTATTTTCGTTAGTGACTTTGAAAGGTTTCTTTTTTTACTTTCTGTTACCTCAGCTATTTATCATCTCATGGAGGGTGTTATTGGTGCAATAAAGCAATCTGATAAACTTGGTATCTAAATCTGATAACTATGCAAATTACGTCAATCCACGAATTACTTTCACAAACTCCATACACACCATCCGAATACTAAAACGTTAACATTTCATTGATGACGTCGAGAGTTTACATTGTTTGTAAACAAACATGGCTGCCCCCATTCTCAAAATTGGTGACAATGATGACAGAGGTTCTGGAGTAGTTACTACAGTAATTGACTTTGGAAAGTATGAAATGGAGTTACTTCGATCAAAATAAAGGTACGGATTATGAGGCACAACTGAAAGGCAATCGTCTAAGAAAGGTACCAACCAAGGATTTCGATCTATCGATCACAATACAGACGACGAATTGATTCCGTCAGGTATCAGAAACTGATATTAATGAGGTGATTACCCGCAATGAAAATAGAAACACTGCCAGGAAAACCCTGCCTGATTTGTTGTTCCTTTTAGGCAGAAAGATCTTTTTTAAGCATGAGTTATGTTTGCACTGTATTAGCGACTTGTCACAACCATATGCTACCGTCATGAACGACCTTCACCTTGGTGTACCGCTAAGTATTCTTACGTGAATGCTTGATTCTCTTCATATATAAATTCACGTACGATGTGCTTCTTTTTTTAAGAATAATTTTAAGATTGACATTATATGACAAAGAGATTATTAACTGAGTGTGTTTCCGTATCATTAATATCGTATATTAGGAATACAAATTATGTATTATGCTCACCAAAGGCTCGCATAATACAATTTTTATATTTTTATATTAGGAATAAAAATTATGTTTTATGCTCACCAAAGGCTCGCATAATACAATTTTTATTCCTAATATATGATATTAATGATACGGAAACGCACTCGGTTAATAATCTCTATTTTCATTCTACACAGAGATTGAAGAGTGTGCCATTTCCTGATGATAATAACATGATATCCTTCATGTTTCTTCAGTTCACTGTAAGAATGACTCGTACATCCATGCTTGGCTACGGGGAGTGGAGGAGGCTACAGGAACGGAGAGAGGAGGGCAGCACAGCAATGACTGCGAGTCAAGCATTGAACTGTTGCGGGATGCTCAGGTGGAACACACAGGTAGTTCAGGCAAAACACACTTTTTCTTATCCCTGTTCCAGTATGTTTGGTCAGAACACTCGGGTAGTTATCTCCCTGTTCCAGGATGTTTGGTCAGAACACTCAGGTAGTTATCTCCCTGTTCCAATATGTTTGGTCAGAACACTCAGGTAGTTATCTCCCTGTTCCAATATGTTTGGTCAGAACACTCGGGTAGTTATCTCCCTGTTCCAGGATGTTTGGTCAGAACACTCAGGTAGTTATCTCCCTGTTCCAGTATGTTTGGTCAGAACACTCGGGTAGTTAACTCCCTGTTCCAGTATGTTTGGTCAGAACACTCAGGTAGTTATCTCCCTGTTCCAGTATGTTTGGTCAGAACACTCAGGTAGTTATCTCCCTGTTCCAGGATGTTTGGTCAGAACACTCGGGTAGTTATCTCCCTGTTCCAATATGTTTGGTCAGAACACTCAGGTAGTTATCTCCCTGTTCCAGGATGTTTGGTCAGAACACTCAGGTAGTTATCTCCCTGTTCCAGGATGTTTGGTCAGAACACTCAGGTAGTTATCTCCCTGTTCAGTATGTTTGGTCAGAACACTCAGGTAGTTAACTCCCTGTTCCAGTATGTTTGGTCAGAACACTCAGGTAGTTATCTCCCTGTTCCAGGATGTTTGGTCAGAACATTCAGGTAGTTATCTCCCTGTTCCAGTATGTTTGGTCAGAACACTCAGGTAGTTATCTCCCTGTTCCAGGATGTTTGGTCAGAACACTCAGGTAGTAAACTCCCTGTTCCAGGAGAACACTGAGGTAGTTATCTCCCTGTTCCAGTATGTTTGGGCATAATAGACTCCATGTAGACTAGATGGCCCTCAGACAGTGGAGCGTCACCTAAAGTTAGAGAAGTATGTAGACTAGATGGCCCTCAGACAGTAGAGAGTCACCTAAAGTTAGAGAAGTATGTAGACTAGATGGCCCTCAGACAGTGGAGCGTCACCTAAAGTTAGAGAAGTATGTAGACTAGATGGCCCTCAGACAGTAGAGAGTCACTTAAAGTTAGAGAAGTATGTAGACTAGATGGCCCACAGACAGTGGAGCGTCACCTAAAGTTAGAGAAGTATGTAGACTAGATGGCCCTCAGACAGTGGAGCGCCACCTAAAGTTAGAGAAGTATGTAGACTAGATGGCCCTCAGACAGTGGAGCGTCACCTAAAGTTAGAGAAGTATGTAGACTAGATGGCCCTCAGACAGTGGAGCGTCACCTAAAGTTAGAGAAGTATGTAGACTAGATGGCCCTCAGACAGTAGAGAGTCACCTAAAGTTAGAGAAGTATGTAGACTAGATGGCCCTCAGACAGTGGAGCGTCACCTAAAGTTAGAGAAGTATGTAGACTAGATGGCCCTCAGACAGTAGAGAGTCACCTAAAGTTAGAGAAGTATGTAGACTAGATGGCCCTCAGACAGTGGAGCATCACCTAAAGTTAGAGAAGTATGTAGACTAGATGGCCCTCAGACAGTGGAGCGTCACCTAAAGTTAGAGAAGTATGTAGACTAGATGGCCCTCAGACAGTGGAGCGCCACCTAAAGTTAGAGAAGTATGTAGACTAGATGGCCCTCAGACAGTGGAGCGTCACCTAAAGTTAGAGAAGTATGTAGACTAGATGGCCCTCAGACAGTAGAGAGTCACCTAAAGTTAGAGAATAGTGTGTAGACTAGATGGCCCTCAGACAGTAGAGTCACCTAAAGTTAGAGAAGTATGTAGACTAGATGGCCCTCAGACAGTGGAGGGTCACCTAAAGTTAGAGAAGTATGTAGACTAGATGGCCCTCAGACAGTAGAGAGTCACCTAAAGTTAGAGAAGAATGTAGACTAGATGGCCCTTAGACAGTAGAGAGTCACCTAAAGTTAGAGAAGTATGTAGACTAGATGGCCCTCAGACAGTGGAGCGTCACCTAAAGTTAGAGAAGTATGTAGACTAGATGGCCCTCAGACAGTAGAGAGTCACTTAAAGTTAGAGAAGAATGTAGACTAGATGGCCCTTAGACAGTAGAGAGTCACCTAAAGTTAGAGAAGTATGTAGACTAGATGGCCCTCAGACAGTGGAGCGTCACCTAAAGTTAGAGAAGTATGTAGACTAGATGGCCCTCAGACAGTAGAGAGTCACCTAAAGTTAGAGAAGAATGTAGACTAGATGGCCCTTAGACAGTAGAGAGTCACCTAAAGTTAGAGAAGTATGTAGACTAAATGGCCCTCAGACAGTGGAGTGTCTCCTAAAGTTACAGAAGTATGTAGACTTAACTTCAGTGTGATAGCACTGTCTACTCTTTTAGGTCTGGCCAGAAGGAACTCTGCCTCCTGCCTTTTGACGGAGATGATGAACGCATTTAAATCCTCCTCCATGGAGAAAAGCCCTGAGCTGTCAGTTGTCAAGGAACTGCCATCTTTACCAGAACATCCGTCTGGACCAATGGACATCAAAGCAGGTAATTTTTATGAATACGCCTGTCTAACACTTCATTGCTCTTTTTGCTGAACCTTGTTTTTTATTCCATAGGTTTAGCTTGAGTAAGATATTTAAAGTCCAAGGATTTGTGTTATCAATTTCACTAGTGGTGCAGTAGAGACAGTATATATTGTTTATGTGGATATTCCTCAAAAGAAGGTAACCGCCTCATATTCCATATAACTTTCGTCAGTTGCAATTTTTGATATTTGTATTTTGCTGTCATTTATTGTTGTAGCCTTGAACTGAATCATCTCCATATTACCCTATTGTTAGGAACTTCATTGATGTGAGATGGATGACACTAAGTCTTTTCTGCAGGCCTTTTCATTGTAGGCATATATGATTCATTTATGGACAGTTAATGAAATTACATTAAAACATTTATGATATTATAGTCTTATTACAAACTCACTACAAATCTGTCAATTTATTTAAAGGGGAAGTGTACACACAAAAATCACATTTATTCTTATGTGAATCAAAGTAAACTGGTTTAATTAGTTAATACCAATGTTTGAAAATATACATTCATTTTTCTTACAATGTAAGTAATAACCCTCAAAATAAGTGCTGAAATGTTATGCCAACTGGTCTCCTGTCTAGTCCCAAATCAAATGATAATAATGCTGAAATTAATCACGTGAAAAAAGTTTGTGAAAATTTGAAAGAAGCACAAGAATGGAAAATGTAAGCAGCAGGACGGATTGATCGTGTGTATTTTCATTCATAACCTCACCTCAATGAAAATACCAAATATGTATAACGATGTGACGTCCGTATGACATCACTATTGGGAAGTAACTCTTTCAAAACACAAGTACGCCGGAGTTTTCGAAGAAATTTTTGTTGTTTCAAGCAACATATATGCATAAATGTGACATGTAAGTAGTCCAAAAATTCTGTCAGTCTGCTGGTTGTTATTTTCTTTTTGTTTTCATTGTGACCAAGGGAAATAGTCAGAAATTAAGAGAAGTACAGTCATTGTTGTGCGTGAGTTTGCGTCAGTCATGGCGTCATGCTTTCTGAATCTATAATATGTTGTGATGAATCTAGAAAATCATTGGAATACACCTATTTTATTTAACTATCGCTTGCTACGATACCTTTCCCATTCATGTTCTAAAACTATTGAGCAAGTGTATGCAGCAAGTAGGCGAACGGATACACAGTGTAAAATCTTTAGATTGGCTTTGTTTACATTTCAAACAAGTGGTCCTTTCCTGCGTGGCATCTTATATCCTCGATATATTTCATTAGATTTCACTGAAACACTTCGTATTGGTGACTATCCATTGTCGGTTTATTTTGAACTGTATGAGGAATTCAGGGATTCATGTAAGGAAGATGGTGTTGAATTATACAATTGATGTTATGGACGAAACATAACCGACAACACATGTGACGTGATTTTATAAACACTCTGTAACATGGCTGAAAATTCACTTTGACGTTAATTGTGTTTGCGTATTTTCCAAAATATTCTCCGCAATTCACGGTTCATCGATAATGTTTCAGAACGAGCATTGGTGATTCGATCATACAACAACAAATCTACCGCTGATCACAATGATACGTCTTTTTCTATTAAATTCAATTCTCCCAGTAAAATTTGACATTTGAATTAAGACATACTATAAATTACGCAAAAATGCAGTGAATGGTGATTTAGTAATGTGTAAAAACTGGTGAGATTTACGATGCATGTAATTTTCAGTATATTTGATCTACAATGAGCGGATGATATCATAGAAAAACAAATTTCAAACAGAGTTCAAAACTGCAAATTGCATTTATCTGCGTGATGTATTTGGATATGTACTATCGATATCAAAGTAAGAAGGAAGAGGAGGGACATATCGTACGATTTATGTAGGAATTTTAGTAACAAACGTAGAATGCCAGCACATTCACCGATGACAAGCTAGATGTAGTGCATATACGTTTTAGGTTTTGTGAAAAAAGGTACTGTTGGAAAGGCAACCGACTCAGGTGGAATATGTTATACAATTTGGTTACATGGTAACACTTTTAGTACAATGTATACATTTTTTTCATGCTAATGTCTTCCTGTTGTTGGCACCAGGAGCCAAGCAACAGGTGGATTAAAACTGTAGCCTGCGCATCGAGACACAAGAACCACACCTATACCTGCACCACGTGAAATGGGTCTAAAAAGGTCTAACGACGTCATTCGTTTATCGTTTGGGTACCAATGACGTCATTTCCAAAGGACATAAGCCATGGTGTGTTTATTGTGGATATAGAATTCTCGGTAAATGTTGAAAATATGAATTGATATAACGCAAAAAAATAAATTAGTTACTTCTGATATATGTACGGGTTTGGATATAAAACTACTTGATAAACACTTTTTATGATGGAAAAGTGCAAGACAAAAAGGTTAATTTTCGTGTACACTTGCCCTTTAACATATGGACTACATCATGTCAGTTCCAAACTGATTGCAAACAACAATAATATAATAATGCTGCAAGTATAATCCACAAATATATACGGTATATGTACATTCACTTCTGTTTTCTGTCAATCTGAACGTTTTAGGCACTGGAAGATGAAATTGAACTATTTTGGAGCAAATTTGTAAAATAACAGAAATATTAAGGGCTTTTTTAATTGGCCAAATATGACTACATTTCACATTTAATTCGAAGATGGAATTTTGGGATATAATCCGGCTCCCTAAAGCAATAACAAAAACAACAAACGGCCCCAGGGAATTGCTCCAGATGAGTGCCGATTTATCAGATAAAGAACTTTATGTACAAAAAACTTCTTTAACTGGAGTGATTCAGTCTGAAATTGTTGCTTCAGTGAAGTGGACTGTTCTTTCTGGCACTCTTTAGCATGCTGAAACACTTTCAACATTCAGATCCAAACTCGAGACATAGATTTATGAATAGCATCTTTGATATTTGTCTTTGTATGTGGTTTCATTGTCCTCATAAAGAGACCTATTCCTATTGTTACACCCTTCACTGACTGCAGGTTCTTTGCAGGAACCTCCATAAGCTCATTCTCTTCCCACAGAGGTTACTCCTGTCATATCTTCCTACGTAACCTCTGTTCTAATACGGCCCTTTCATGGTGTGAGCGTTCAAGACTCGTGATTGGAGGCAATCAGATTTAGTTGTGCAATCAGCGACTTTGTTTCAAAAGTGATCATTCGCAAGGCCTCGGTAATTTCCGTATACTTCGAGAAAACTAAACCTCTTTCCCTGCGCGATGCGCAAACGTTTCTGCTAGACAGAACTCAGTCATGTTATGGCGGATCAGTGGCGTCTCCATCGCCCTCGTTGACAACGGACAAGCTAGCCATTAAACGTCTTGTGTGTAACATCAACACAAGTCCCCGGCAGATGGGGGATATATTTTTGGCCTCACATTTGCTTGTGTTAGTCAGGTTGAATCTAAGTCGATGTAACACGTGTTCTGATTGGATAGAAAGAAGGGAGATAATTCGTGTTGCGATCTTTTGCCGCTAGGGGATTTTACGAGAACCGGGAAATATGGCCGTATTAGAACAGAGGTTCGTAGGAAGATATGACAAGTAACCTCTGTGGGAAGAGAATGCCATAAGCTTGCTCTAGTTGTTTACCTTGTCATATGGCTGCTTCTGTTGTTGAATGACTACGCATGTGAACATCTGTTGATTTGTATTTGTGGTACAATGTTTAGTGTCCAGCCAGGAATGTAAACAGACAAAGCGGAAGCTGAGGAAGTCCAGGATACCAACACCTATCAGAAGACTGAGCAGCTGCAGTTCTCAATCTGTGAAAGAATCTGGTAGGAACACCATGAGCATTGCATCTTAGCTGTCAATCTTACACCGTGGTGATACCAGGAACATAGTGGGTATTGGATGGTAGCTGTCAATCTTACACCGTGGTTATACCAGGAACATAGTGGGTATTGCATGGTAGCTGTCAATCTTACACCGTGGTTATACCAGGATCATAGTGGGTATTGGATGGTAGCTGTCAATCTTACACCGTGGTGATACCAGGAACATAGTGGGTATTGCATGGTGGCTGTCAATCTTACACCGTGGTGATACCAGGAACATAGTGGGTATTGCATGGTAGCTGTCAGTCTTACACTGTGGTGATACCAGGAACATAGTGGGTATTGCATGGTAGCTGTCAATCTTACACCGTGGTTATACCAGGACCATAGTGGGTATTGCATGGTAGCTGTCAATCTTACACCGTGGTTATACCAGGACCATAGTGGATATTGTATGGTAGCTGTCAATCTTACACCGTGGTGATACCAGGACCATAGTGGGTATTGCATGGTAGCTGTCAATCTTACACCGTGGTGATACCGGGAACATAGTGGGTATTGCATGGTAGCTGTCAATCTTACACCGTGGTGATACCAGGAACATAGTGGGTATTGCATGGTAGCTGTCAATCTTACACCGTGGTGATACCAGGAACATAGTGGGTATTGCATGGTGGCTGTCAATCTTACACCGTGGTGATACCAGGAACATAGTGGATATTGCACGGTAGCTCTCAATGGTAGCTAGTTAATTTTCAAGGGGTCATTTTTTTTAATATATCACTCTCTCCCACTTGTTAAGTTAAAATGCACTTTTAAATCATGCAATATCATGGTCTGCTAAATGATGGTGTTTTAACTGTTTGTAATCTTTTGCTTAGTTTCTACATTCAAATTTTGGGCTAGTGAATTATTTTGTGGGCTAGTACCTTTCAGGCATAGCTAGCCCGACTGGCAAGCAAAAGGAAACTATTTCGCACACTGAATGCAGGATTAATTGGTGACCATACACATCCGGCCGACTCCTCGCCAAACGCCAGATTAGACAGTGCTGATTACTGTATAAAGACATATTCGGGCGGCTCATTTCATGCCGAGATCAAGAATTGACATCTGCCAGATTGCAGAGCTTTTAAATGATGCTAAGTGTACTAACCATGGACAGGACTTAGATTTTATGGCTGTTTTAACAACTTGCCGGATTGGACAGCTGTCGGTTTTGTCAGCTTCCACTGTATTTTCCTTAGGAATGCCCCTAGTCATGGGTATACAGTAATCAATGGTTCACATTTTTCTCATGTCTTGGGATAACTGAATCCTCAAAGAGAATGCCAATCAATAATTAAATACCTTCAAAGTTGGAATGATGTTTCCATGTATAGTTTCGAAAGATTTATAATTTGCTGTAATTTACCAGTTTTTCAGTCTGCTCTTTCTACCCCAACTGTGACACAAACTTCAGAGAGACTGTTTTCAGCTAAAACACATGAAGAAGACAGTAGCCACACCTACACCTACAGGTGGACCATGGCATCACCCACAAGAGAAGGTAATTAAATGCATCTGGGTCAGACAGTATTCAAACCTACTGGCATACCATGGCATCTCCTATCACACACAGTAGTTTACAACTGTCCCAGAAAGTAGTCACACCTGCAGATATTGAATACATCTCCCACCAGACAAGGTAGTTTAAACCTGTCCCAGAAAGTAGTCACACCTGCAGGTATTGAATACATCTCCCACCAGACAAGGTAGTTTAAACCTGTCCCAGAAAGTAGTCACACCTGCAGGTATTGAATACATCTCCCACCAGACAAGGTAGTTTAAACCTGTCCCAGAAAGTAGTCACACCTGCAGATATTGAATAGATCTCCCACCAGACAAGGTAGTTTAAACCGTTCCAGAAAGTAGTCACACCTGCAGGTATTGAATACATCTCCCACAACACAAGGTAGTTTAAACCTGTCCCAGAAAGTAGTCACACCTGCAGGTATTGAATACATCCCCCACAACACAAGGTAGTTTACACCTGTCCCAGAAAGTAGTCACACCTGCAGGTATTGATGGCATCCCCCCCCACAACACAAGGTAGTTTACACCTGATCCAGAAAGAAGTCACTAATGCAGGTATTGATGGCTTCCCCAGCAACAGAAGGTATTTGGTAGTAAAATATACTAGAAGACACTGACTGTGTGATGGATCCAGTTCAGTGATGATATTCCCTTTTGGCTGCCTACAGGTGACACACAGACCAAAAGTATATCTTCAGCTGGATGTACTGGCAGGCTGACGCGGAAGAGACTAAACTCTACGACTAAACCATGTGCCATGTCCCTGGGAAAAGTAGTCTTCTCTCAGAATCTTTCTCCTATACTCACAGGTTTGTCTTGTCATTAGTCAAATATTTCATCCATCTCTTCAGTTGACATAACTGAATGAAGTGCTTGATTAGGCAATTCAACACTGTAGAAGCTCTTGCAGTCTTTTGCTCTGGTGTTATTCCTCCAAAGTCAAGATGTACTTATCCCTGTTTCTTCGTTCATATCTACAGATGGAAGAAACACAAGTGGCACCACAACCAAGACAGTTACAGGCTCTCTTTGCAAGTTCATTCGTCAACTCGACCATAAAAGACTAAATTCTACAACAAAACCATGTGCCAAGTCCCTCAGGAAGGTGGACTTCTCTCAGGCTCTGTCTCCCATTCTCACAGGTTATTCTCCTACGTTATGCCCTTCTTCACACATGCTCACTACATAGTTCACTGTCACTTTACTGTGTGACAACACAGACACTACATTGTGCCACCTTACTGTGCAACCATACAGACACAACATTGTGCCACCTTACTATGTGCCCACGCAGACACTACATTGTGCCACCTTACTGTGCGCCCACGCAGACACTATATTGTGCCACTTTACTGTGCTAATGTGTGACCACACAGACACGTTATTGTGTCACTTTACTGTGCTACTTTGTGAGCAGACAGACACTACATTGTGCCACATTACTATGCTACTGTGTGTGCACACAGACACTATATTGTGCCTTTTTACTGTGCTACTGTGTGACCACATAGACATTACATTGTACCACTTTACTGTGCTACTGTGTGACCACACAGTTACAACATTGTACCACTTTACTGTGCTACTGTGTGACCACACAGACACTACATTGTGCCACTTTACTGTGCTACTGTGTGACCGCAGTTACAACATTGTGCCACTTTACTGTGCTACTGTGTGACCACACAGACACTACATTGTGCCGCTTTACTGTGCAACCACACAGACACTACATTGTGCCTCTTTACTGTGCCACCACACAAACACTACATTGTGCCACTTTACTGTGCATCCTTTGGTGTCTGATGTGTATATGCAGTATTTTGTCTGATACATCCCAGTACAGGGAGGTCATACTAATGTGTACATGCAGTATTTTGTCTGATATTTCCCTGTAAAGGGAGGTCATACTAATGTGTACATGCAGTATTTTGTCTGATACATCCCAGTACAGGGAGGTCATACTAATGTGTACATGCAGTATTTTGTCTGATACATCCAAGTACAGGGAGGTCATACTAATGTGTACATGCAGTATTTTGTCTGATACATCCCAGTACAGGGAGGTCATACTAATGTGTACATGCAGTTTTTTGTCTGATACATCCCAGTAAAGGGAGGTCATACTAATGTGTACATGCAGTTTTTTGTCTGATACATCCCAGTACAGGGAGGTCATACTAATGTGTACATGCAGTATTTTGTCTGATACTTCCCTGTAAAGGGAGGTCATACTAATGTGTACATGCAGTATTTTGTCTGATATATCCCAGTACAGGGAGGTCATACTAATGTGTACATGCAGTTTTTTGTCTGATACATCCCAGTACAGGGAGGTCATACTAATGTGTACATGCAGTATTTTGTCTGATACATCCCACTACAGGGAGGTCATACTAATGTGTACATGCAGTTTTTTGTCTGATACATCCCTGTAAAGGGAGGTCATACTAATGTGTACATGCAGTATTTTGTCTGATACATCCCAGTACAGGGAGGTCATACTAATGTGTACATGCAGTATTTTGTCTGATACATCCCAGTACAGGGAGGTCATACTAATGTGTACATGCAGTATTTTGTCTGATACATCCCAGTACAGGGAGGTCATACTAATGTGTACATGCAGTATTTTGTCTGATACATCCCAGTACAGGGAGGTCATACTAATGTGTACATGCAGTTTTTTGTCTGATACTTCCCTGTAAAGGGAGGTCGTTCTGATGTGTACATGGATTTCTGTAATGTCCCCACATAGAAGGAGATCATACTGACAATTGCACTTGTCAGAGGGGTACACAAAGTATGTGATCTAGAATACCAGTTGTCAGACTGTTTTGTGGAAGCTGCAGTGACTGCCTGGATTAGATCGCTGAGTTTGTGTGCTGGTGATTAGGTGTCTGACTCCTGCATCGACTCAACCAAAGAAAGTACTAGAATATGTACTTTTCTGAGAAAGTGTAATTCCAAATATAGCATGTTACTTTCTAGATATATTTTTGTTATAATTGGGACAGGGTGATACAATCCTTTTCACATGTTTCCAATGTCATGTTTCCATTTTGATGTTTATATTTTCACATGTTTTTATATTTGTCAGGTGTTTCCATTATCACATATTTCCATTATTACATGTTTCCATGTGTCAGTGTTTTTGTGTTTCCCCAACAGAGGCAACTGAGAGGATGAAGTTAGAAGAGACAACGCCGGAGAAGCAATGTCAACATAATTCTCCAAACAAGGAAAAGTAGGTGACTAAATTCTAAATAGAAGCTACACTGACAAGTTACCCAGAGATTGTTTCCTAGGGATTTTTCAACAGTTGCAAGGACCATGGTTCCCATTACAGAGGCATTTTTGCCAATTGGGATATATTGATATTGAAAATACCCACTGTACTAATGCCTGGCACTTCAGTGAACTGTTAAACAGTTTACATTTACATCAACGTGTACATGAGCTCACACACAGAAGCAAACAAAACTTTTTCTTATACATATTATTCCTTATCCTGACTCATGCTTATTTGCTTGTCTTCTTCTTCTTTTCGAACACAGTGGAACACTTGTATCTCCCAATTGAAGTTCCCTTCAATGTAAAATCACTAATTAGTACTCACCATGAGTTATCTTTCCCCTCGCAAGCTCGGGAACGAGGGCGCCACCTCCCACCATGTGCCTCACTCTCTCCTTCTTCGCCCAGTGAGCTGGACGTGAGAGCGCCTGTGTCTCCCTACACACTATATCCTTTATTTATATTTAGTTTGGTACCTCTTATATTCATCTATAGAGGTGTAACTAGTATCCTTATTCAACATGCATTGATAATTATTCGTGTTTCTGCTGCTTTATTCACGGTTTGCCGTGTTTGCTCAGCAGTTTGCGTTAATGAAAATCTGCACTGTTTGTAAATTACGTTACTCTGCTACCGATCCGCATTTAATATGCCCTAGTTGCTCTGTTGCTCCATGCTCTATTGTTTCACGCTGCAAATTATGTATTAATTTGTCTAATTCTGCCTTTGATAAATATTTATATTCCGTCTTGAAGCGGGCGGCAGATAGATCTCGGAAACAATCTTCAGTCATGGCTAATAGATCAGAGTCAGATATACCCTGTCAACTGTTGGCGGACGACCCTCTACCGTCTGGTGTTCCGCCTGAGTTACCTTCGGGGAATAAATGTGGGACGCAGTCCGCTATATCCAAGAAGCGACCTGCATCCCAGGACGTTCCATCATCACAGTTTAAGACTAGAAGAGCTTCCACGTCGTCTCAACGTACGCTCCGAACCCCCAGGTCTACAGCTTCGTCAAAAGGGAAATCCACGAAGGCTACTAAAAACTTTGCTTCTGACATTCTACCTGTTTCAGAATTGTGTTTATATGATGATGACATTCCGATTATCATTCCAGATGTACGTCATAAGAAGCGACCAGTATCGGCTACCGTCACTTCAGCGCAGATCAACATGCAACCAGAGATGCCTACGCTGACGCCTGAGATTATAACTGAGGGTCCCGTCACTATCACAGAGAGGACACCCTCAACGCCAGCGCAGACCGTCCCAGACGACCTGGTTAACCAAATCATGAGGTTGATGGAAGACCGATACGGTTTACAGAGGCCTCAGAGCCGCGGGCCCCAGAGCCCAACCCATAATAAGTCATACAGGGCCCCAGAGCCCGCCTTGACTTCGCGTAGGGCCCTAGAGCCCACAAATGCGCCTCCACGAAGTGCAACCCAGCCCGTAGCGAAGCCTTCGCGAAGGACGTCCCAGGCCGCCTCCACGAAGGATCTAGAGCCTCACCAGTTGAGAAGGGCTTCGCGGAGGAGGAGTGCTTCACCGAGCTCACACCCTGTAGAACACAGAGGTCGTTCGCGAAGCAGGCTCCCATATAATGATTTGGACTCTGACTTGATACCTTCCCGAAGGCCTTCACGAAGGTTAAGTGGCTCCAAATCATCTTCACCCAGAAGATCTAGAAAGGATTCATCGAGAGCTTCACGAAGCCACCAGCGTTCGCCGAGGAAGTCTCCTCCAAGGTCTCCCTATACTAGGCACTCGTCAGTCCGTTCACCACAATCTTCTCGTCGATCTTCTTACAGATCTAGGACTCCACCTCACTCTATTATATGTGATCCTACGTCAGAAGAGGAAGAAGGTATCGTATTCTCAGATGCAGAAATTAGATACTGGATGGTGAATGGATTAGAACTTGCTTCCCCGTCTAAGAACGAGAACTCAGCTCATACTTATTTGATGAAGGAAGATGATGCGGACAATATCACCTTACCTCCTATTGACCCGATAGCAGCGGTTCCAGCTAATCTGGATACAGCCTTTACCAAATCTACGAAATTTCAATCAACACATTTCCCGGTTTTCAAAGCCAAGAAATTTGCAGGTCACAATATGGACACCTTTTTCAAGGCCCAAGAGATAGATGACAACTTTAAGTTAATCAGTGATGCCAAGTCCAGAAATTACAGAATAGACGATCGCAAATTAGCCCAGTTGGATACCATTTCTAGGAGAATGTTTTTTGGATTGAATAGATCTAGAACTGTCAATGAAACTCTCATCACCAAGTTCAAAGATTCTACAGAGGAGGAAGATAGAATGATCTACTTGGCTCTACTCATGCAGAAAAGAGACCATCAGTTCCTTACAGATCACTTGTCAGCACTTACTGAAGCTACTACCATGGCTCGTTGGCAGGGTCTACTAGCCTCCTGCAATTGGGATAATCAATTTACGGAATCACTCTACGCTGCCCCATGGTCATCGCCCTTACTCTTTGGTGGTAACATAGACAAGGTCTCCAAAGAGGTGTCTAAGGACTCTAGAGAGGTGCTTATGATCAAGTCCATGGATACGTTAGCGAACGTCATTAAGCAATCATCCTTGAGATACTCTGGCAAGTCTACATTCTCTGGACTACAGAAAGCACGGGACAAGAAATTGGCTACAGCAAAAGGTCCCAGGGAATCTTTACGTCGCCCATACAGCAATTTCAGAGGTTGATCAGCAAGAGGCAAATCATCCAGAGGTTCCCGCGGATTTAGACGATGAAATTCAGGTTCGGAACGACTGGAGTCTTCCACCCCCAGCCGTTCCAGTACAACCTGCTCAAGTGGGTGGACGCCTTCAGCTGCACTGGGAAAACTGGGGACTACTACAAGATCCTTATGTATCAAACATCCTACAGCACGGATATCAAATGCCAACTCAAGGCCACACCTCCGTTAACAGTCATCCCTCCAAGGTTCGACTTTCAACCGGCACAACTACCTATGTTAAGAGAAACAGTAGCTACTCTGCTAAGCAAACAGGCCTTAGAAGTTCTGGATCAGCGAAACATCGTACCAGGTTTCTACTCCCCAGTTTTCCTAGTGCCCAAGAAAAATTCGTTTCGTCTCATATACAACATGAGCATCTTCAACAAAGACTATCTAAGCAAACCGCCAGCGTTTCGCATGATACACTTACCGCAACTTCGGCACTTAATTCGTCCCAAAGATTACATGGCCAGCATAGATTTGCAAGATGCATATCTACATATTCTGATTCATCCCAATTCAAGGAAATATCTAAGATTTATCCTAGACGGGAAACACTACCAATGGAAAGTACTTCCCTTCGGAATCTCATCGGCCCCTTGGGTATTCACAAGAGTGACGAAGCCTATTGTCGCATACCTACATTGTCAAGGTCTTCGCAGCGCATTTTACCTAGACGACGGGATACAAGTGGATCCAGATCCACAGCGTCTCAGACTACAGCTGAACTTTATAATCAAGTTACTAACACAACTAGGATGGTTAGTAAATCTACTCAAGTCGGACCTAGAACCAACGCAAGATCTGCATTTTTAGGTATACGATTTCTAACAGCACAGAATCGTATAGTAGTCCCGGAGGACAGATGGATCAAGATCCAACAGTTAATCCCACAAGCCTTACTCTCTCCGCTACCACTACGACAGTGGCAGATCCTATTGGGACTACTCACATCGGCCCAAGACTTGACAGTCAGAGGCAGGCTTCAATTACGTCCGTTACAAGTCCTCATCAATGCGCATCTCGAGGACCCTCTACCGTTCAGTCTACCAGATCACGTCAAACCGCATCTACTCTGGTGGACCAAAAGATTGAATGTTTGCGTAGGCGTCTCCTTATTAGAGCCGGAATCGGAAACACATCTCTACGTAGACGCGTCACTACAAGGTTGGGGAGCCCACCTCGCCTACAAGACAGCGTCAGGCCTATGGAGCAATCAAGAGAGCAAATGTCACATAAATCTGCTAGAGATGCAAGCAGTCATAAACGCCATAAGTCACTGGAGCAACCTACTACAGAACGCTCAGTTGATGATTCACACAGACAATTCGACAGTGGCGTTTTATGTGAACAAACAAGGCGCAACAAGGTCACCGAACCTACTGTCCCTATGTTTCCGATTATTCGATCTAATCGACAATCTAAACATACATGTCAGAGCTTGCCACATTCCAGGAGCAAAGAATGTATTAGCAGACGCTCTCTCTCGGCCACACCTACCGTCGCCGACAGAATGGATGCTCCACACAGAGATATTCACTCAAATAATCATGGAAATAGGATCTCCACTAGTAGACCTATTCGCCACTCGATTCAACAAACAACTGACAACCTTCGTATGGCTAGTTCCAGACCCACTAGCATGGGCAGCGGATCTATCTAAGCATATCGTGGGAGGGACTCAATCGCGTCACGCTTTCCGCCACCAGCGTTAATCCCACAAGTCTTCACGGAAAATCAGTCAAACGCAGAGCCTCCATCTGATTTTGGTCGCGCCCTACTTGCCAGCGAGAACGTGGTTTCCAAATCTTATTCAAGAAATCGGACAACCAATTCTACAACTTCCAGAACGCTCGAATCTATTGATACATCCGCACACCAAACAAGTGCACGGAAAACCAGAAGTATTCCAACTTCACGTATGGATTGTATCAAGGCATGTCTGAATAAGAGAGGTTATTCAGCCAGAGCGGCAAAAGCAGTCACGCTTGCACTGCGTAACTCAACTCGCAACATATACGATGACAAATGGCACAGTTTTGTCAATTATGCTGCAAAGAAAGGATTTTGCAGCATTGAGCTCTGTCATAACTATGAGAACGGGCGTCAAGTTAACAAAGACCCCAGAGTTACTCGCTTTGCTACGAGCATTCAGATTGGAGGATCACAAGCGGAAGTTTCACGCT